GTGTGTCCTTTGCCATTCCCTATCACTCCTCCCTGAGAGAGACTTCACCCTGAGTCATAAGGAAAAGGGGATGGCGTATTCTCTTAGCTACTTCCTGCAAAACTGAAATATCTTTAAGTCAATGCACAATGATTTTAAAAACAAAAAAACAACAAAAACCCCTAAGCCAATCCATGTTTCACCAATAACATAAGCATCCTCAGGCATCACTCATCACAAAACAGACAATATTAGCCTCATGTTAAAGGCAGATGAAACTGCTCACTTTGGCAGCACATATACTACAACTGGAAAGATACAGAGAAGATGCATAGCCCTTGCACAAGGATGGCACGCAAATTCGTGAAGGGTTCAATATTAAAAAAAAAAAGCAGATGAAACTAAGGCTCAGAAAAATTAAACATTAAATAGAACAAGGGAACTTTGAGCATGAGTATAATCAGGTACGCATCCTAGCTTTTAAGATTTCCAGAAGTTAAGAAAAGATGATTATGATCTCACAAAAAAAAAAGAGAGTCTAAAGGAAAACATGGCTCAAAGAGTGGAAAGCTTTCGAATCTGCAATTCTGACTTGGTAAATTTATCCTAATGAAGAAAGAAAAGTACAAACAAGTCAAAGCATTTCTCAGAGAAGCTGAAGTTCTAAAAGACGTGTATATAAAGGCTGGAAAAGACCTAGCCGCTGTGATGATGTGGTGCTTGTGATTCTGTGGTACTTGTCAAAATCCACAAGACTTTTAGGAGAGAGATTTGTCTAAATAAGGCAGCCTACTTTGCCGAAAACCAAACATGGAAAAGTGTCACCAGAGTGCTCACTGGAGGTAAAGATGACAAAGCTTTCACTCACATACTTTGGGCATGTTGCTAGGTGAGGCAATTCCTTGAGAGGGACATCAAGTGGAGGGTCAGTGAAAGAGAGGAAGATTATCAATGAGATGGTCTGACACAATGAGCACAGGCATGGGCTCAAGTGTGACAGAGATGATGAGGATGACACAGAATAGGAGAGCAGACAGATTTGTTGTTTGTAAGGTGGCCGTGAGTAGCACTCAACTCGATGGCATTCAACAACAACCTTTGTCGCTAGTCTCTGGCATGAAAAATACGCCTAATGTACATAGTGTATTTCCCTAGATGTTAGTGTCAACCACTGAGAAAAATCAAGCCATAATCTATTGTAGAAATGAACCAAGAAATTAAATACCATGAAATAAACTGAAATTATGGTTATATAAAAGAGAGACAAGGAAGGAAGACTTTCAAATAAGAGGTTGATGTACAGAACAGGATATAAATGGAATTTTCAACAAATTTTAATAAATCCCTATTTTAAAAAAAAAAGAGCACACTACTAGTTAGTAGATGAGGCAGGATTCACACTCAAGCTAAATGGCACATATACTTGGGGTTCCTTCCACTCTATCACTTCATCTTATCACCCATGACCTCAGAAAAGGGTTGCTGTATTTTTTTTATGCCTGTGCAGTTTTTCTCATTCTGAAGGAATATACCTGACATTGTCAGACAAGGAGCCTGGTGAACAAAGATAAGACATACATACCTCAACTGGAATAGCCTTTGTTCACTAGTAAATGGACTTATGATGCCAGAATGAGGGGGATGGAGCTGGGCAGGCCTGGGTTCCAATCAGTTTTACCACTTTACTAAGCTTTACTGAAATTGCTTAACATCTCTGGATCTACTTCTTATCTATAAATTAGGGCCAATACATCTACTTCTTAGCTATAAAGTAGGGCCAATACCTCCCTGAAAGGTTTTTACTAGGATTAACAGACATTGTATGTATAAAGAATCTAGGCCAGTACTCAACAAAAAATAGCACAAGCCTCCCACGTTAACTTTCTAGTTTTTTGTCTTACACTTCATGAAAAACTGGCAACAATCTCCTGTACCCGACAGAAGACTTTTAATTTTTCAAGTAAATAAAAGTACAGATAAAAATACATAATTTTTTTTAAATGACAACACAGAACATTTACACAAAATAATAAAAAACTGTCTATGATTTGTTAATCATTTCAAACAGTGTCTTTCACTGGAAATAAGACAGACAGTAGGAATCGTGTTTACTTCTGAAATAGTACACAGCAAAACTTTATTTTAGCTTTTATCGCTATCAGGAAAGAGACTAGGCTAGGTGACTTTTAATCATAAAATATCTCGTTGTTGTTGTTGTTGTTATGTGCCATCAAGTCGCTTCCGACTCATAGCAACCCTATGTACAACATCCCTAAACTCTGCTCTGTCCTGTGCCAATCGCCCCATCACCGACACACCTATCCCAATTACCCTAGTCACTGAATCAATCCACCTCATAGGGGGCCTTCCCCTTCTGCGCTGTCCCTCCACCCCACCAAGCATGATGTTCCTCTCTAAGGACCTGTCCCTCCTTGCAACATGTCCAAAGTATGTTAGACGGAGCCTTAGAGTCCTTGCCTCCAAGGAGCAGCCCAGTTTGACCCTTTCCAGGATGAATCTGTTTGTTTTCCTAGCAGTCCATGGTACCCTCAATACTCTTCTCCAGCACCACAGCTCAAAGGCATCAATTCTCCTTCTATCCTCCTTAGTCATTGTCCAACTCTCTGATGCATAATAAGTGATAGCAAAGACCATGGCCTGTATCAGACGCACCTTAGTCTGCAAAGAGAACCACTGCTCTTCAGTACTTTGGAGAGGTCCCTAACAGCAGACTTTCCCATGGCACCACGTCTTCTAATTTCCTGGCTGCTGGTGCCGAGAGTGTTGACTGTGGAGTCAAGCAAACTGAAACTGTGAACAATCTCAATCTCTTCACCATCCATCCTGATGCTGCCAACTGGCCCAGTGGTTTGTCTTCTTGACATTGAGCCTCAATCCATATTGGAAGCTGCAGTCCTTGATCCTCTGCACCAAGCGCTTCAGGTCCTCCTCAGTTTCAGCAAGCAGGGTTGTATCATCTGCATATCGCAGACTGTTGATAGATCTTCCACCAATCTTGACCCCACATTTCTCTTTATAGAGCCCAGCCTCCCGGATAATCTGTTCTGCATACAAGTTGAAAAGGTATGGAGACAGGACACATGCCTGGTGTACGCCCTTCCCAATTCTGAACCATGCAGTGTTTCCTTGCTCCGTTGTGACCACTGCCTTTTGGTCCAAGTATAGGTTTCTCATTAGCAAGATCAAGTGTTCTGGGATTCCCATTCTTCTCAGAGTCAGCCATAGTTTGTTATGATCCACACAGTCAAACGCCTTTGCATAGTCAATGAAACACAGATAACATTCCTCTGGTACTCCCTGCTTTCAGCTAAGATCCATCTAACATTACCTACAATACCCCTAGAACCACAACCCCTTCTAAATCCAACCTGGACTTCTGGCAGTTCTCTGCTGATGTATGTTCCAGTAGTTTTTGGATAATCTTCAGTAGAATTTGCTTGCATGTGAAATCAACGAGAGTGTTCTATAGTTTCCACACTCTGCTGGGTCACCCTTCTTTGGAATGGGAACAAATATCAATCTTTTCCAGTCAGTTGGCCAGTTGGCTGTCCTCCAGATTTCTTGGCACAACTTAGCATCCAGGGCAGCGTCTGTTTGTTGAAATATATCAACTGGTATGCTGTCAACTCCTTGAGCCTTGTTTTTTGCCAATTCCTTCAGAGCAACTTGAACTTCCTCCTTCATCACCATAGACTCCTGCTCATATGTTATTTCCACTACAGAAATTTCTATTCACAGGCACATCCATTTGCTCTATCAAAGCAGGAAGAATAAAATATGTATCGAGGAAGCAGCAGAGCACAAACTTCATTAAAACCAAACAAAACCTCCACATATTACCATCTCCATATCCTTCTTCAAAAAAGGTAGAGGAAATCACATAAGGAGAATAAATGCAGTAAAACTCATCTTTTTTCTTTAATAATAGAGTGGCGGGCAGCTCATCCTGGCCCCTTGGTGGTAGCAGAGCGCGGCCCAGAGCACTTCGCCACTCCGGAGAGGGTCAAGGGGAGGCAGCCGCGCTCAGAGTCGCAGAGGTTCTGTGTCTGCCGCCAGCCTCGCTCGCCCGGACGTCTGCGGAGGGAGGATGCCGCCACCCTCAGCAGGGCAGCGGCCGCGGCCACAAAAACTTTTTTACCTGATCAAGGTCAGTACATCCAGGAGGATAGAAGGCTTTAAGTACATCTCTCGCTCAACACTTAAACATGTACATTTATCTAATACAATTTAGATGCTCATGAATATCAAAGAACAGTATCTGACCATGACATACAACACTTTAAAATACTTGATCTCAAGACAGATGTATTTCTGCTCAAACATACCTTTTTTAGCTCTTCTTTGGAGAACTTTTCATAAGGATTATGTTCAAGATAGGCAACATGCTCTGGATTATTGGTGGTAAATCCTACAGTTTTGCCCTTTTTGTTTCCAGATGGCTCGTAAGGGTGATGTAGAAGATCATAATGAAGCATTGTAATCCTTTCTTTTTTAATTAACTCTTCACTCTTCTGTAAATCTGTTAGAGGTGGTTCTACATTTAAAGGTCTTAGAATAGTGTCATTTACCTAAAATTTTTAAAACAAGTACAATTACTAAATGTATCATTGCCACATATTAATGTTATTACTTAATATAGAATACATTTTTAAAGGCAATTTTTCTTTGCCTTTTTCCTTCTAAATTTTTAACTGTACAAGTGAAATACTTCAAAAACTAGATTTAGTAATACTAGATTTTCAAGTTTAAATTCTACAACCAAAACAAACAATATAAACCCACTGCCATCAACTTTGCATTCAGACTTATGGAGACGCTGTAAGACAGAACAGAATGCCCCACATGGTTCTAAGTTGACACATCTTTAGAGATGCAAACTGCCCTATTGTTCATCGCCAGAGCAGCTGGTGTGTTTGAACTGCTGACCTTCCCATTCAGAAGAGTGCTTTGACCACTGTGTCACCAGGGCTTTGGTATTTAAAAAAAGTAAACAGTTATTTTTTTATAATCTTTACGAGAAACACCACAAACAACTTAAAGCTTCCTCATACTTACTTCTGATGGTCTTGGCAGGTCTTTCTGGACAGCTTTGTGCATTCGTTTCATTTCCTTTACACGCTCTGCATCTCGGATGGCCTAAGAAACAATTTGTAACTATCAGTGCAGCTAGTGTTTGGTTCATCTCAGTAAAGCTGAAAACACTTTGGTCTGTATAATCACTTTGGTCTACATAATGTATGTCCAAGTGCTAAAGCTTCAAAAATTTGTGTGACTATGTAGAAAGGTAATGCTAAAGCCTAAAAAAGTAACTAGCCTATTATTTCTTTCATTGTAACAAAAACTAAAAATTTTCAATGTTTACCAGAGCATTCTTCAGATTCTTTTACTGTCTAAATGAAAATTCTAAACTCAGAGGCAACTTTTAACTATTCCTCCTTAACACAAACCTTCCCTTTAACTTCAAAAGTCAATCTCTGACTGAATCCAAAAAGAAAGCCAGTAAATGCACTGTTTACAGATTCTTATGAATTATATTGAGTATCACACTAAAATTTCATTTCATTTCTGAAAGTGGATCCTAATGCAAAGTAGCTGAGACACTTAAAGAAAGCATCAAAAAGCATGCATTCACATGGTTTCTTGCTAAAATATTATTTTCCACTGATGCCAATCTTATTGCAATTCTTTGAGATTGAAGCATTTTAAATGATCTTGAAATGCACTACTGCATGACTTCTTAAAGGTGATCAAATGATCACAATTCTAGTTCATAACTCACCATCCATGAAATCTAAGAAAGTTAACTTCATTCCTCTGAGCCAGTTTCCACATTTCCAAAACAGCTAGTTATCTTTCCTAATTCATATAACTTAAGGTGTTGGTAGATACAAATGGGAATGTAATTGCTCTAAGATATATTCTGTAATATCACAGACCCACTCTTTCTGAATTTCCAAATCTCTATTTTTTTAATTAGTTTACACTTACAACCAGTGTAAGATGTATCAGTCTTTAAAACTAAACAATAACCTCTTTCCTTGTCTAAAGTGACACTGTCTAAAAGACTATGTGCATTTTAAAAAAGCAAGATGATTCTGTCAGAGAGCATTTAAATTGCCACACAGAGATACATTTTAAGAGTGCCTATAATCATTACTGATTTTAGACTAATTATTAATTGCATAAATAATTTAAATTGGCCTTTTAAAATTTATTTTTAGTTGAATTTTTACTTTGAATATTGAAAAATTTTCCATATAACGACTGGGAGAGGTTTTTTTAATGGTTGTTTTCATTCTTGGAGAATAAAAGACATGCCTTTTCTGACACACTCACTCACCTGCTTTCGTGCATCTACATCAGCAGCATCTTCAATATAAGTATCATCTACTTCATGCTCTTCCAGTTCCTTCTCCGCATTTTCTGGTAGGACAATTTCAAAGTCATTCTTAGGAGCAGGAAGACCCAACAACCCTAAACGGAGATGTTCCCGAGATTCTCTTTCCTGCAGAAAAGAATTGGCTCTTCTGAAGTCATACATGTTAAGTATTCAACCAATATTCTTGAAGAATTTTGAGAAAATTATCAATTATAGAAAAATTATTGCTAACTTCAGTGCTAATACTAATTTTTTTTTCCTTAATTGCAATCTCTCTTCCTTCCCTACGTTAAGAGCAATCAAAAGTTTTGACTTGTAATTGTTATTGTTGTTGTGTACCATCGAGTTGGAAGCACCTCACAGCAGATCCTCCAGCAGATTTTCAGAGGCAAATAATTGCACAGGAGGAGACTGCCCTTCTTTCTCCCATGGAGCAGATGATGAATTCGAATCACATAGCTTTGGTTTTGCAGCCCAGCTCTTTACCACTAAGCCACCAGAGCATAATAGGTGGAAATACTCCACGATGTTTTAATAGCAGGTTTGGAAATTGCAGGAGCAGAAGCTTGTTAAAAATGATCTGTATTTTTATTTGAAGGAATACATTTTAGATAGTGAAATTATATAGTAAATGGTTAATAACGAGTTCAAATGTCAACCTGTCCTTGGACTAATAAAGCCTAATCTGAAAGTTGCCTGAATGAGTGTGTTTAAGGTTTTAAAGGAAATACTAAAACATCCTAAGGCCAAATCAAACAGTCTCAAATGGTATTATCTGGTACTTTCTTAATGCATGCTTTGCTCAGCTCTCCAGCTGCATTTCCCACTGTTGCATCACATGTATGTAAGCATGACCCCCTCAGGTGAGCTGCTCCACATCTGCTTATTCACGATGAAGTCTCCATTAAAAGTACCCTCCTTTGAGCATTCCCCCTCAAGGAAGGCTCTCCTGATATTCACCCAACAAATCTAACTGTTCCTTTCTTTGACCACTGTAAAGAGCTTACTTCATTCTTACAGCACAGTTATTTTGGGACTTGGTTTAATATTGCCAATATTCCCCAGATTGCAACCTCTCTAACTCAACTGTAACTGCTCTATCCCAAGTGTCCAAACCCATACTTCAGTTAGTCTTAACTTGTTTAATTCCTAAATAACCACTGAGAGTTGTCATTAGTTGATATTAACTTGGAGAAAGAAGACTTTTTTTAACTAAATCTATACATTAAGTTAAAAAAAAAACAAAAACAACAAACACAAACTTCTAACAGATGACTGCCCAACATCAATGGACTTAATTGTTTTAAAAAATCCACAGTAATTATTTTTAAGGCATTGGTCAACGGAGTCCAACAATGTGGTAATAAAATCAGTCACTTGGGGCAGACAAATTTTATAACTGATTTTCTAAATTACCTTCAAAACACACAAAACAAAGTTTCACTGAGATCAGCCACAAAAATCAAATTAACTTAGCTTTGAAATCTTAACCTTTAGATCAGAATTTCAAGGCTCAAAATCTAATCTATGAGGCATCTAAAGACTTAACATTCAATTTATAGAAAAAGAAATAATGAAAGCAAATCTATCACTCAAGAAAGTACTAAAAAACAAAACAGAAATGAACTCACTGCTGGTGAGTCGATTCCAACTCGCAGTGACCCACCACAGGGTCTCCAAAGTGGTTAACTCGTAACTGGAGGAGACTGCCCATCATTCCCCTTGGGCTGCCAGTGGATTCAAACCACCAGAGCCTCACTGCCAAGTGGTTAACAGTGCAGCACACTACAGACTATGCCACCAGAGCTTCCTAAGAAAGTACTACTAAACGATAAAAATTTAAATCTTAAGAGATACTAGAAGCATTCTTAGAAACATCATTAATACTGGTAAACACATCAAGAATAAGAAAAGCTGGTGTGTAAACCCAATTAAGTCTTAGCGATTATTTCCCTTTTCCTGAACAAATTCTTAAGGTATGTACGATATGCAATGTCAATGGAAAAAAAATTTTAATTCTGCATCCAGAAGACATTAAAAAAAAAGTGTAAAAATATGAAGCATGAACTGAGGTATCAGGGAAGATGGCATGTTAAGAAGCACTCAACATCAGTCCTTTTACCATGACAACTAGTGAACTGAAAAGAATTGTCAGAATCAACAACTTCAGAATCTTAGTCTAGTTAAACACTTGCAACAACGTTACCAAGGAACAAAGAAGCTGGTAAACTTGGAGGAATTTTAAAGCAGCTACTACTACTTCTCTCCCCCAGGCTCATGGCAGGCAACCATGGAGACCATAGCCTGCTTGTTGGTGCCAAGGAGGGTAACAAACTATGACCTCAAAAAACCAAGGCTCTGGGTTTTCATTTCTCTGGTAATTTGGCAAAGGATCAGTGCAAAGGTAGGCCACCCTTCCATTTAAGGAAACTTCTGTCAGATCACTCGGCAACCAGGAAGAAAATGAAAAACATTCTTCAGTGACAACATACAAGAAGAAACAGAGTCTTTACAAAATGAACCTATCTATGAAGAAGGCCTGGTGTTGAAGCTGCTGGAGTAATTTTCAATTAACTGTGTTAAAATACTTTACCTAAGATTCTTTTCCTTTTGATCCAATAGCAGAAAGGAACTGGGATGGGAAATGAGGAGAAAGATGTATGAACAAATAGAGAACAAGAAACCAAATGGAAATATGCAGATGTTTTGAGATATGTTTTCCATCATAATAAACAAAGAAGAAAAAGTCAAATAGAAATTCTGTAGCTGAAAAGTACAGTAAAATTAAGAGAAGTGTCATTTACCATCTGCTTCACATAAGAGGGATCACTGTAATCTGCCATTCCGTCCTCAGGATTAATGTTTAACTTGTCACGAAGAGGCGTTCTACCAGGGGTAGCGTTAGTAACTGGCTTGGGAGTTGTCCCACTCCTGGGAGTCAGCCCTTCAGGTCCATGAGAAGGAGTCCTGGAGAGACAGAAATTTCAATTAATTAAAGTGCTACATATATTTTACCACATTTGACACATCAGTGTTTGGTGGATCTCCTCCATTAAAAAAAGCTTGGAAGCAGGAATCATATCCACTTCTGAAATAGCTTGCCTCCAGAAACTATGAAGTTGGACAAATGATGAAAGTTATACAAGTGTCTTTTATTCATAGGGTCTCTAGGAGTCATCTATGACTCAACAGCACTTAACAACATTTCTGTCCATTTGCTGTACAGAGGTAACTGGTGGTTGCTGTGATGCTAAATACTATGACACTGATGTGTCAAATGCAATAATGGTTATTCATGGTGGACAGTGTTTGGTGGAGCACCCCAATTAAAACGAGCTTGGAAGCAAGAGTGGCATCTACTTCCAAAATAGCTTGCCTCCAGAAACTCTATGAAGTTGGACAAATGATGGAAGTTATACAAGTGTTCAGGTCTTTCATTCATAGGGTCGCTTCGGGCCATCTACAACTTGATGGCACTTATCAACAAAACAACAAAGTATATTTTAGACTGTTCTTTCAAATGATTTTCACATACACTGCTTTACAAGACATACAGTCTAGAAATTCTACTTTTATATGTAAGCTAGATCTCTGGGTTAAAATAAAGATTTGGCCCAACTAGATTAGCATACCCTTGTGCAGTCAGCAATGAAAGGACTGTGAGGATGGCATGGGGCCAAGCATTTGGGCTGCTGTACTGTGGGGTCACTATAAATGGAACCAACTCAGTGATATTTTATAAGCTTGGGATTTGCCCTTTAAACACAGAATTTGTGTTTTAAACAGCCATAAAAATAACTATTATTTTTTTTTCCTCCTTAAACGAGGGCTTACTAATCATTCAATCTTTTCTTGATGTGCAAGGGTAGCTAAAAATGTATGTTAGTATAATGTATATAAGGAAGTCTGATATCCCACTCACTGACCCCAAACTTCTAAGTACACATCTTGATCTGTTTGCCTCCTTTCTGGTTATCAAGCTGTTCGCTATCACATGATTATCACAGACGTACCAAACATTTTCAGGAGTCAGTCTATTTGTATTTTGTTTGGATACCTAAACTAAACTTTTAAAATCAGGTCAAAATACGAATAACGTCTGAGTGAAAGCTAAAAGACCCTCCTAAGAATAAAGTCCATAGGACTTTGTAAGTTGTAGCTTCACTGTTCAAAAATGTATTCTCAGTTGTCACCTACTTCTTGTTTCCTGGTGTGTTCCAGACAGCTGTTCCTGACAGTTGCTATTATGTACCATTATGTCAGAACCAACTCATAGCTGGCCCTATAAACAGTTTTTAGAGGCTGTAAATCACACAGGAGACTGCCCATCTTTCTTCCACAGAACAGGGGGATTTGAAACATGTGCCTTTGAGTTGGCAGTGCAATTCCTTTCCACTAAGCCACCGATGCTATAAGGCTTTGCCCCTGCCTTCACAGAGTATACAAACTAGTTGAGAAATAAGAGATACAGAGTAAGAGGGATTAGGCTCTCTTACAAGCTTAAATGTCATTAAAAGATTTCAGTGTCAAAGCTTGATTCTGCTGTCATGCTAAGTTAGAACAGTCTGAGATGCTTCCAAAATTAATCAGTTTTTCTAAGATACAAAATCCTGGTTTGTTGTTGTTATGTGTCGTCGAGTCGTTTGCGACTCATAGCGACCCTATGTACAACAGCCCTAAACCGTGCTCTATCCTGTGCCAATCTCATTGCCCCTGACAAACCCATCCCGAGTACCCCAGTCACTGAATCAATCCACCTCATAGAGGGTCTTCCCCTCCTGCGCTGTCCCTCCACTCTACCCAGCATGATGTCCCTCTCCAAGGACCTGTCTCTCCTTACAACATGTCCAAAGTATGTCAGGCGAAGCCCCAGAATCCTTGCCTCCAAGGAGCAGCCTGGTTTAATCCTCTCTACGATGAATCTGTTTGTTTTCTTGGCAGTCCATGGTGCATTCAATACTCTTCTCCAGCACCACAGCTCAAAGGCGTCAATTCTCCTTCCATCCTCCCTAGTCATTGTCCAACTCTCTGATGCATAACAAGTGATTGCAAAAACCATGGCCTGTATCAGGCAGACCTTAGTCTCCAGAGAGACACTGTTGTTGCTCTTGAGTATTTTGGAGAGGTCCCTAACCACAGACTTTCCCATCGCAATACGTTTTTTTATTTCCTGGCTACTGGTGCCAAGAGTGTTGGTAAGCAATCAATAAAGGACATATCCTAATACATTAAATGAAAAGCAAAACCCCAATAGCTCTGACCTTTAAAAATTCACATGCCATTTTAATACAATCTGCTTTTGTAACAATTATATGCCTAAATGATCCTTTTTAAAAGCAGTAGTAGAGCTCTTATACTAGGGTCGCTATAAGTCACAAGCGACTCGATGGCACATAACAACAACAGTGTAAAACACAAAAATACATATAAATAAATCCTGGACACCAGTAATATCAGCATTATACCAAGATTCAGAGTTCTTCAGAGGTAGAAAGGACTAACATCAAAACCTGTCTTGAATGAAAAAAAATCCATGCAAATAAACTGGACTTGATATGATTAAGCAAAATATGTTCAAGCATAGCACAAAAGTGGTATGAATATCAAATCAAAAAGTATTCAGAAATAAGGTGTTAACATCAGAATTTCTGAAAGACACTCCTAAGTACCATGGAGTAACTAACTGCTGCCTAGAAATAGAGACTTATTTTTTACTGTGTGTAAGAAGAAATCAGAAAGGCAAGCAGAGCCCTTATTTCCATTATCTGTCAATATCTTCAAATCTTTAGGTTTACGTTTTTCTAAGACACAGAATCGACTGGTTTATTTACAATACCTGAATGGAGTAGAAAGAACTGTGTTTGGCGTCTGCACGACTTGTTGCTGTGGAGTCACACCTGAGAAGTCACTCTCATGCAAAGGAGTATTAAGTCCACCTTTCAATGGGGTGTCCACATTGGTGAGAGCCATGAGATTCTGGGCTTCCTGATTAACAAAAAAGAAGCATGTTCAACAGTTTAGAAAGGACAATAAATCCCTTAGTCTCATCCAACAAATCTTCAAATAAATATCTATTTTCTCAAAAGAAATCAAGAAAATAACTATTGAGTCATGGACAAATTCACTAGTTCTGTAAACCTAACATGCCAATCACATGAGAAATTATACCAAGCTATGCTTTTTCTGGCCTTAAATGACTATTACTCAAAAGCTTCTCTCATTATTTATGACAAAGTACTGAAAACCCAAACTTTCCAATATGCGCTTAGGATAAAAGTCAGAACACCTAGGTTTCAGTCTAGGTTCATCAATCACTACCTAGTTCTTTACCCAGTCATCATCAGACTCTCTTAGTTTCCTCTACTGATATGTTAGGGTACAGTCAGCTAACCCAATCATTTCACAAAATAACAACTCAAGAAGGCAGCTGCTTTTCTGGTCCTTCCTGACTTCTTAAGTAGAGCTGATGCCAGTAGAGCTCAGCGCTCATTACCATCACTGAACCTGAAAGTCTCTCAATCCCCAATTCAAAGCCACAGCAGACTGGATACTCCTCCCATCAAAATGTAGAGTCTAGGTCCCCTATTTGGGATCAAGGTGGAGTTGTGACTCATTTGTAACCAACAGAATGCAGAAGTGATGCAGCCTTCCAAGTTTATTTACAAAAGAGGTCCCAGGCATTATGGCACAGAACCAACCAAGACAACCTTTCCTTCTGTGCCCTATCCAAATTCCTGGCCCAGAGAAACCATGAAAATAATAAAACAGATGTTCTAAACCACGAAGCTTTCAGTGAAATAAAGATAAGCAGAGCAAAACTCATATCATTAGCCTGTGTATCTTTAAATCATAAAATCTTGAATTTCATGCAGTCAAAGGCTTGTGTGCAGTTCAACTATAGATTCCAAATACAATCTTCCTTTCCTGGAAAGAACTTAAATACAAGGGCTTAGAATGAAGAAACAAGAAACAAATGGTAAATAAAGCAAATACTCCCAGAAGACTAGATATGACATGCCAAACCACATGAGTCCGTACTGTAAGACAGAAGACCACTATACGGAGACCACTGAAAGAAGTCTGGCCAAGGACTCTGGCCAAGTATGTAGTAGCCCAAAAGACTGATGGGGATCTGAGAGCCATGTTGTAGAAGGCAGACTATTTTATTTTCAACTTGGTTAGATTTCTTTACATAGCTCTGGAGGGAGTTCTTGTGGTTGAGTGGTAAAGAGCTTCACTGTCAACCCAAAGGTCTACAGTTCAAAACCACCAGCTCCTCCATGGGAGAAAGATGGGCCATCTCTTCCTATGATATTTAGTCTCTGAAAACCCACTAAAGGGTCAGCTAAGTCAGTTCTGACTCCATGGCACAGAACACCACCACCACCACCATATGGCTCTGAGTTAAGAATTTCAAAAATAAGAGAGCTAAAACTTAGAAAAGCAGAAGTGAAGTACCAACTAATACACTCTGAAGGTTGTTATTTGCTAGGGAGGATGGAAAAAGACTTGAAGGTGCTGGAAGATTTCAGTATGTTCTCCTATGACTTCCCTACTCCATGTCTGGTCCTCTTCCCTAACCGCCAGACAGAACAGCAACCCAACCAACCATCATTATCAGACTTAGAGCTATGAACTCAGAAAATATGGTAGCCAGAGAAGCACCAAAGACTTCTCTAGGCCCCCGTGGTGCTCAGCAAGCTCCTTATTTCCCTGCAAGCTCTTGGCTCATTCATTTACACCAAGGCTGGGTTCATGGTATTTTGCTGATCCTTCAAGTTCTCCTTCCAGATCATCTTTACTTCATTAGGTCTTCCCATTTATTGTGTATAGTCTAATCCCTATAACAAAGAGAGCTATAAGGGAAGACTTAAGTACCAACAAGAAAGAACTGACAGGAGTGGAGTGAACCCTGTTAGCTCAAATCTCTCTAAAAGGGGACTCCCTGACACCATGGAAGACTGGGACACTTTGGAGATCTCTGGGGATACTGAGGTTTACGAATGAGATGAAGAAGGAAATTAAGATATCCCCTCAGAACAAATGGGACTGGCTGGGGGGCAGGTGTTCCCCTAGCGTTAGCACCCTGAATTTGGACTTGAATGTCATTAAAGCCATCCATTTTGGTGGCCCTAAATGATTCAGACTCAGAACTAGGTCTAAAGATGCGTCCAAGTTCCAATTAGTGAGATAAAAGCCGATATGAAGTGAGAGAAAGATGTTTTCTTAGAAAGAGAGAGCACATACGTGCTAAACATAGGGTCTGACCCTTCAGTCACTATACCAACAACACTGAGGATGGAAGTCATACTTGAGAGACAGAAAAGTGGCTCATGAGATTCCCAACACTAAAGGATGCCATGGCAGCTTTGGCTTGACATGTGAACATAAAAGAGAGACAAACTTCTACCTTTTTTTAGATCACTGTTAGGAATTTTCTGTTACAACTGGACTTAATTCAGTTAAATGCCTTTCCTTAGCAAATAACTTCATTTACATCTTTTAGGAAAGAATCCAATGCTGTAAGCCCCAAACTTCTTCAACCCAAATTAACCCCTAAATCTGTTTTGTATTATTTCAAGATAACTATCATTCTCTTACAATTTTTTCATTATCTAAATACGCTTTAGCAATTAGTTTTCAAAGGCCTATTAAAAACATGAAAGGGTACTACAAAGCCACAGTAATGAGACAATGCAGTACTGCCATATACAGAGAGACAAACAAAGATCAATATAACTGAGTCCAGAAATAAGCCCTTGCATATAAGGTCACCTAGTTTTCAAAAATGTTCCAAATACAAAAATCAAAGACCTAAATCTAATCACAGCGACTTTACAGATTTAACAGTTAAAGTGATGAAACACCCAGAAAAAAACACAAGAGTAAATCTTCAGGACTTTGAGCTCAAATGTACAATCAAAAACAACAACAACAAAAAAGATAAATAAGATTCAGTAAAATCATAAGCTTTTCTAATCTACAGTAAATTACTGATTTGGAGTAAATCATGGTAACCCAAAGAATAAGAAAAAAATATATGGAAATAATAACTTACTTGCATTAGAATAGGAAAAGAACTCTTACAATTCAATAATAAAAAGTAAATAACCTAAGTCTACATAGTAATTTCTTCAAATAAGATACACAAATAGTCCATAAATACATGAAGACTTAGTCAACAACATTAATCATTAAATATAAATAAAACTCACAATGAAGTATAATTTCATATCCACTAAGATAACTATTACTTTAAAAAACCCCAAAATAAAAATACTAGAAAATAAGTATTATTGAGGATGTGAGAAAAAAATAAACAGAAAAGAAATATTACTGAGGATGGCAAAAAATTACAAGCTCTGAACCCTGCTGCTGAAAACATAAAATGGTACAATGGTATAAGCGAATTACAAAAGCAATGTGCTTGGCATGACTAAAACAACTTTCCCAGATCTAAACTACCCTTGAGTTGATCCAAATTAAAGGTTGACTTAAACGTTTTTCTTCTACTGCTCTAAAGAGGTAATTCAGCATTTTATAAAACTTTAACTGCTTTTAGCCCAAAATAAGGAATAATAATGTCAGTTTAAAGACTATGGTACACCTGATCCAATCCATGGTGTTTTCAATTACTTTCTATGCATTTGAAAGTTGAAGCATGAATAAAAGTGACAGAAGAATTGATGACTTTGAATGTGGTGTTGGGAGAAGAGTACTAAGTATCCCATTCACTGTCAAAAGAAAAAACAACACACTGACAAAGGAGATTAATCAGAACTGGCTTTGACAAGCACTGTGGCAATGGGACAATTAAAACAGACTTTCAAGGGGGGGAAAAATAGAGGAACGAACTGGGGGAGAGGGTAGAGAAAACAGTGCAACAATGAATGAATGGAAACCCAAAATCTCTGTAAATGTTCATGAAAATTAATAAAATTTAATAAAAAAAAAACCCAAATATGTCTTGGAGGAAACTTAACCAGGGTTTTCCTTAGAAATAAGGATAATGAAAATTCATCTCACATACTTTGGGTATGTTGTTAGGAGAGACCATTCCTTGGGAAAAAAACACCATGCTGGGAAAGGTAGAGGGTCAGTGAAAGAGAGGAAGACCCTCAATGAAAGAGACTGACAGTGACTGCAACAATGGGCTCAAGTAGATCAAAGACGATGATGGTGGCACAGGACAGGGCAGAGCACAGATCCAATGTTCATAGGGGTGCTCTAGGCCATAGTCCACTCAACAACTACTAACTACTCAACACTACTAACAACAACGTAACCCAAAAGCAGCAGCAAAGGTCAAGAGTTTAGCCTACGTGAAGAACTGTTTCTGCAAAACACTATGAAATGTATTTAAAGCCACCAAATGATGCTAAAAATGGCTAACATAAACAGGTCAAACTACAGCAGTTTGCCCTCTTCTAGAGAATTTTTAGTAATTTTTTTTTTGAGGTAGCTGTTGTTGCTGTTGTTGTTAACATGCTGTCAAGTTGACTATGACTTATGGTTAGGCTAGGCACAATAACTCTGAACTCTGCTCTACAGACATGAGCCAATCCCACTGTCTCCAACACACTTACCCTCATTACTCCAGTTACTGTGTCAATTCATTCCATCTGAGGTCTTCATCTCCTGCCCTGTCCCTCCACCTTTCCCTATCTCTCTACAAGGACTGGTCCCTCCTGGTAATATACCCAAAGTATGTGAGATGGAGCTTCAAAATCCTTGCCTCCAAGCAGCAGTTTGGTTTCACCCTCTCAAAGACAGACCTATTAGTTCTATCAGCAGTCCATGGTAAATTCAATACTCTACTCTAGCACCACAACTCAAAAGCATCAATTCTTCTACATCCTCATTTTCCAGCTTTCAGATGCATAGCAAATAACTGCAAAGACCATTGTCTCAATCAGGTGCACCTTAGTTTCCAGACTGATATCACTGTTGTTCTGCACTCTGGGGAGGTCCCCAACAGCAGATCTTCATAATTCAATTATCTTTTGGTTTACTGACTGGTGGTACATTTGGAAAAGATCAGCTATCTGTGTAGATATGAAAATACACAGTATCTTCAAAAAGCAGATGTTTATTTTGTACTAAAAATACTACTGTACTTGTTTTGTATCACCTTAATACATGTGGTAGCATTAACATCAAACTGTAAAATTCAGGAAATAAAATATAAATCTAAAAAACACGATGTCTAACATAGTCAAATTTTATGATATATTTTACAAACAAACAGCAGCCACTAACACAGCAATAATCAAAAGTCAGATAACAGTAAAATGTGGCAAAACTTGAATCTTTACGTACTGCTATAGGGAATGTAAACTGATAGAGTCATTTTGGAAAACAGTGTGAGAACTTCTCAAAAAGTTCAACAAAGAGTTAGAGCAATTTCACTCCCAGCTATATATCCAAGAGAAATTCAAGCATAATCCATGTAAAAACTCACTACAAGCAAAATTCTTTACGATAATAAAAAAAAACACACCCCAAACAACTAAATACTCATCCACTTTTGCATGGATAACAAAAGTATAAACAAATACACAATGGAATATTACTTAGTCATAATAAGAGAATGTACTAATACACTCTACAATATGAATGAACCTTGAAAATTTTATACTAAATAGATTATACTGGGTAAAAGAAAAAACAATACATAGCAAAGGTATGATTAGACATTGTAAATAATTGAACTATTATAATTAATATTCTGAAACCAAACTTCTAGTAATGAAAAGATCTTTAACAAGAAAAAAGACTAACAGAATCCAGTCACAAAAGGTCACGTAATATTATATAATGTGCAAAACTGTTTATATGAAATGGCAAGAGTAGGCAGATTAGAAAGTAGATTAGTGGCTGCCCAGGGCTGGGAAGATTGTGAAGAAATAAGAAATGATTGTTAATGGCTAAGAGCTTCTTTTTTGAAGTGGTGAAAAAATACTAAACGTGACTGTGGTGATGGCAATATAACTCAAGGAATGGTCCTTGGAGAGGGACATCATGTTTGATAGAGTGGAGGGGCGGCGAAGGAGAGGAAGACCTTTGATGAGATGGATCGATTCTGTGACTGGAGCAGTGGGAATAAGTGCATTTGAGATGGCTAGGTTAGTACAGGATAGAACAGCATTTAGAGCTCTTGCACATAGGGTCATTATGAGTCGCAAGCGACTCGATGGCACATAACAACAACATAAAATTTTAATTAACAAATTATGTTAATTATATCACAATAAAACTATTTTTAAAAAACATGGATGGATTTCCATTAAAAGACTTTTCCAGGGAGAAAAAAAAACAAGTTTTAATTCAAATTTTCAAGTACTAATAGTTCATACTTGTAAAACAACACTGCTGGGAGGTGGAGGGGAGAGAAGGGATGTTTCCTAACCTGTCAGAGAACAGCTGTATATGAAGAACCAAAATAGCCTATCATGCTATAGTCTGCATATAATGAAAAATGGCCCATGGGAAACCACTTTAAAATGTTTAACCTAAAAGAAACACCAACAAACCAGTTAAGTGTTTTCTTTCACAATACTCTACGTGGCAATAAAACAGAGTGAAAGGTTGATTGTACCTCGAGACAGGATAGCTTACCTGCAGAATCCTGTCCTGGGAAGCTGGTGTTCGCGGAGTCCGAAGAGCTATGCTGTTGTTGGTAACATTGTACTCAGATAGGAGAGTACTTGAAGCAGAGTTTGTTATGCCAGATTCCTCTGCAGTCTGTCGTGCTATTTCACTTGCTTGGCCAACTTTTACAACTTCCTGAAGTTCTGCATCTGAAATCTAATAGGACATAATTATCACAGGAGCATTTTAATCAGAGAACCAGTATAGCTTTTAAAACGTCCATAGTCCAGAATGCTTAATTACTAAAGCTGTATAATGGATACACAATAGTTAATTTTATTTTTCTCTGAGTTTTAAAATTCTGTTAAATTTTAATAATTCTTTCTTACATAATACAGGGGAGGGGAGAATCCATATATAAATAGCAACAAGCCACAAAAATGTTTGTATCATTTTCCCTCACTATCAACTTATCTTGTTTTTGGACACTTCATATTTCAGAAAAAAATAAAAAATCTAATACATTGTACATTAATAATATATGTCTGGAAGTTAAACTGGGGTAAGGCAACAGAAAGTGCTGATTAAAAGTTACATGTCAGATCAGCTGGGCCATGGTTCTTAGTGGTTTGATAGTAATGTAATCCAACCATGTAATCTGGAGGTTAAGTAAACATTGTAGTCATATTCCATTTTCTAAACTGAGGTAGTCATACTCAATTTTTGCATAATTCAAATTTTTGCATAACAACTTGGCCTTATACAACCTAACCACATCAGTAAGCGGCATATTAACCAATCAGACTCAATTAATTCGCTGCTGTGGCGTCAAAGACAACTCACAACTGACCCTAACTGGGTTTCCTAGGCTATGAATTACACAAGAAGAAACTGTCCATTCTTCTCTCCTGCTCAATACTGGTGGCTTCAAACCACCACCAACATATCATGAAATTATTTTCTATTTACGCCAAAAAATTTTATTAATGCAGTCAGTACACTCATCTGGGGAACTCCTCTGACCTCCTAATCCATTTATGTGATTTGTTAAACTTGTCTGCTTCCACAGAGCTATATTCAACACAACAAACAAGAGGCTGTTTACATGTTTTTCACAATTACTCCTTATTACATGTAACACATCCCATTAAACTGTAGATTTCCTAAGGGCATCAGTCTAACACAGATTTATTCATATTCAAGCACTTGCTGAATACATACATGAGCATATAATACACACAATGAAAAATCTACTTTTATCAGATTACCTGAGGAGCAGGAAGTACTAGTTTGCTTCTCTTTTTCGTAAATTCTGAAACATCACTAGTCTGAAGAATAGCTGATGGTAAATCAGATTCTTTTTTTCTTTTCAAATGTTGTTTGTCTTTTTTTCTATCTCTCCCTTCTTTTTCCCTGTTATGGATCAAGGTATAAAAAGTTTTGAAAGTTACAGATAGACAATACTGAAGGCCATATAAACACATCCTTTGAACACATAATTCCATTTGATTTAACTAAAAAGACAAAAGCCATAGACATTAAATTGTTCATTGTATTATTACTCATACTTTAAAGAATGCAAACTCAGAATAGCAATTACAATGAAACAGTAAACAATCTCAGTACTAAATACTTCAACTATTTAAACACAAACATTGTAATAAACATACTGTAAGATAAAGTATCAAAGAGCAAAACTATCATTATATGATTATATGAAACAGAAATACATATATAAACACTGGAAAAGACTAAAGACCATACAGCTAATCCTCTGTATTATTTAGGCAAATATATACATATATCCAAATATATTCATATAAAAATGAATATCAAATATGGTTTCTTCAACCACTATGTCAAAGTGTTTTTTCCTATTTTTCACAAATAACACACCCACATATGCAGCATTTGGAAATTATTAAACTGAGAGGGGGAAAACCCACAGTTCTGGCATATTAGTAGCTGATAGAAAAAATTAATTACCATATGCATTACCTTTATAATAAAGCAATAAGCAATACTACTTCTAAAAGTTAAGGTTTTTATTTCTTTTTTTTTTTAAGGTTTTTATTTCTATCTGAGAAGACTACCTAAAGCAAGGTCCTAGTTTGAAAGATAATTACAAAAAAGTAATCTTTTTTAAAACTTTGGGGGTTTTTTATTTGTTTGTTTTTTCTTTTTTATTTTTGTGTGCGTGTACCGTCAAATCAGATCTGACTGGTACAGGAGGAGATTGCCCCTCCTTCCCAGGCAAAGCATCTGGTGGATTCAAACCGTGCACCTCTGGGATTGTAGTTGCAGCTTCTTGCCACTAGGCCACCAGAGCTCCCCTTAAAACTTTGTTTTACAGTCACTGATACCCGTGTTAACAGAATTCATGTTAAAATGAATAGAAGGTAAGGGAATAAAAACCTAGAATATCTTTGACAATCATTGTAAAATGCTTTTTGTCCACAAAATTAGCACTTAAATATATTTATAACTAACTCACTGCTGTTTAATCGTAATCAACTCCTAGCTGCCCCTCCAGTGGGTTGTCAGAGACTATACATCGCACAGGAAGAGAAAGTCCATCTTTCTCCCTAAGAGTCGCTGGTGGATTCAAACCACCACAGAGGTTAGTAGCTCAATCCCCTACAACACCAGAGCTCCCTAATATATGTTACAGATATTAAGATGTTAAGATTACAGATGTTAAGCAGCTTTAAAAACACCTAGAAATAGACAAATTTCTAAGCGAAACAAATTTTTTTTTTAAATTTTACTATTTTGTGTGGGGATGTACCGTCAAATCAGATCTGACTGGTACAGGAGGAGATTGACCCTCCTTCATCAGAGCATCTGGTGGATTCAAACAGCATACCTCCGGAATTGCAGTGCAGCTTCTTGCCACTAGGCCACCAGAGCTCCCTAGAAACAAATTTTGTTTAGGATATATTTGCCTAGCCTAATCAAGGGAAAAAGATTTACAAATGTATAAACTTTTCTTCACATTTAGTTCTAAAGTAAAAATTATAACTAGAAAAGACAAAATGAATCAGACTATTTTTTGACAGATCATATCAGTCTGATACAAAATAATTAATCTAATCTAATCACAAATTACATAAAGGTTAACATCATGATTTGGACCACTTACCAGGAATCAAAAGATGACAATTCAAAAGGGGAATAAAAGGTCTATACTAAACAAACTCTTGACAGCTAGGTTTTCTAAGGCCAAACTCATTGAATAATTATGTCATAATTAGCTAAATAAAATTTTAAAAATCCAGCTCCGACAAGGATACTACCAAGTCCTCCATAAAATTTCTCTTTTACAATTTTCAAAATCAGAAAAACAACTTACGATCTTAATTCCCCATCAAGATCTTGTTGTCGTAATTTCCTGAAATCTGCATCAAGAGCCTGGTAGTTTTCCTCAGAAGTATCATAAAAACCAAGCGCAGGCTTTTTTTCAAATGGGATTTCTGCATTATAATCAACTTCCCTTTTCCTTTTTCTCTTCTTCTGAATTTCTATACCAGCTGCTCGAAGCTCTCTTCTCTTCTGAAGAGCAGCAAGACGCCTGAAAGAGAAAGCAAGATCATCCTGAAAATCACATATGGTAGGGAAGGACAGATTTTCCAGTAAAGTTGGGAAAATTATCCAGTTATTTAAGGAAGAAATATTTCTTTAAATTGTCAACTGATGCCATTCAACAAAACACATCCCAGTTTTAATTTAAAGTTGCACACACATATCAAATATTACTAAGTAAATAAGTATCTTTAATTACACTGTTTTTCTACTGTTTACATTTTCTAATGTCGAAATGATTTCTAATGATGACACTGATTATCTTGTAATTACACTAACTGTTGCTATAATGGCTGAAAAAAACAATGGTACCTCATACAGTGGAGTGTTAGATAACACTAAAAAACAATCCAAAACTCGGAGAAATTTAGCACAATACAGAGGACTCTCGAACAAATTATGATGAAATTATTAAATCAGTACAAAGCCACTGTTTCAAAAAGTTAAGGGGAAGTTTACACACAGAATCAATCTTGGATAGTTATCAAGAATGTAAAGGATGGGCAATGGGAGCAAAAATTAATACATATTTAAGTGAAGGAAAAGGCAAAAGACAAGGGGCTGACTGGGGAAAAAACTTCAAAAGTCACTGTCATCGAGTCAGAACTGACTCCTAGCTGACCTCCCATGGTCAACTAAGAGAGGCTGTAAACAGCACAGGAGACTACCCCTCTTTCTCCTGTAGAGCTCTTGATGGATTCAATCTCCAGAGGCAATCAGACACCTTTATAGACTACCCTATAGACTACCAAACAGAGGGGATGATGAGATAATTCATTAAGTACATTAATCAATGGTAATTAATTTTACAAAACATTTATGAATGATTGAATAAAAAAACAGTGTTTTTAAACTTTCACTAAAATAAAGACAATAAAAGGTGTCTTTAAGTTTTTCACATCTTTTAAGCTAGTGATTTTATTCTTCAATCATTAACTTAGGAAATAACAAGAATGAGCAAGGAGAGGCAGCACTTCTCGCAAGATGTGGTGCTTCTCAAGAGGCTGGTCTGCTGCAAGACTCCAAGGCCTTTGTGGCACGGCAGGCCTGGGAACATATTCCAGTCACTGCTTTCCCAGTGTCTGCTAAAGGCTATGGCCCAACCCAGGCACACTCAAACCCTGGCCAATGACAGAATAACTTCCTGCCAGGTTGAGGGATTCTAGTTTCACCACCCAGCTGCTGCCCTCACCGTACGCAGGGAGCACCAATATCACAGGTACTTGGGGAGAAACACTGCTGTCTAGCTATACCACATGGGATCCCTTTTACGTTCAGGCAGAAGGGTCCAGGACAGTTTTAACCAGGCTGAGACGCTATTTCTGAAAGGGAACAACAGGCTTCCTAGTTTCCCATTCAGGTACTTTGGGGGGAACACTACTGTAGGTTGGGCCTGAGGCCAAGAAGAAAGCACAAATATACAAGTCCTTCACAAAACACTGCCATACTCAATCACTACTGTATTTATAATAAACTAACATCTACTAAGACTCACAATAATGTCAAGAAGCAGTCTGCCTCAATCATCATGAAAAAATAAAATAACACTTCTCCTAAAAAGTAGACACAATAAATACCCTAGACAGAGAGAACCAGAAGAAATACGTTGATGTGGAGTTATTTGAATAGCTATAGAAAATAATGCAAATGATGGAAGAAACAACGGAAGCCATTAAGAGAGCAAATACTCCAGAAACAATAATCCAGAAGAAATATGAAATATGAGAAGCAACTTAAACAGCTCTGGAAGAAAATGCAAAAGAACTGATAGTATAGATAAAGAGGTACAAGAACCTGAAAAAAATCATTACAAGAAAGAGATGGTACAGCCAACACAGTATTGGAAATAACAGAAAAGCATGAAAATGCCTGTAATATTAAGACCAAAATGGAAGAAGTGTCCAACATGCTGTTAGGACAAAAACAGTAGAACTGAAGAGATGGAACAGAGAATCACTGAGCTGAAAGAATCTCACTGGAAACGTACTAGAAGAAAAATCAGAGATGAGACGTGAAGAAAACATTAAAATCATGCAGGATGGCATCAAAAGGAACAATATATGTATGATTGGAATTCCAGAACATGGGAGTGACAGGGAAATCACTGAGGAAATTGCAGAAGTACTAGACAAATAAAACTACCCAGGTATTTTGAAGAACAGGGAAATCCACATTCAAGAAGGACAGCCAGGAGTGCAGGAACCTTGCTTTTGCGGCGGTGCAATGACCACAATCCGAGCTTTCACCTGCGATGACCTGTTCTGCTTCAGCAACATAAAGGGTGGCTTTTTTGTTGATCTCTTCGTAAGAGTACCTAACCAAGTTGCAGTCAACATTTACAAGCAACTGGGCTACAGTGTCTACAGAACAGTCATAGAGTACTACACAGCCAGTAATGGGGAACCCAATGAGGACGCTTATGAGGACGCGTATGATATGCAGAAAGCACTTTCCAGGGACACAGAGAAGAAATCCCTCATACCACTACCTCATCCTGTGAGGCCAGAGGGCACTGAATAACTGTGGGCAGTAATTCTCACGCAGATGTTCCAGAGTTTATAAAGGACAACTAGTAGAGCTCCATTAGAAGGAAGTTAGTCATTTAGGTCTTACAAACATCAAGAAAATAACAGGCCTTAACATTTAAAACCAATCTTACTGTTTCTAGTTAGCAATATCGTACCTAAAAAGCAGTTCAGAGGAGCCTTGGAACAAGGGTTAAAAGCTGAACTGCTAACTCAAAGGATGGCAGTTCTAAATCCACCATTGATTCTATGGGGGAAAGACCCAGGGATCAGCTCCTGTAAAGGTTATGGCTCAGGAAACCCCAGGAGGCAGTCTGCTCTGTCAGAGGATTTCAGGGAAATGGCATCAACTCAGTGACACAAAACACAGTTGTTCACAGTAGTAAAATTCATTCCAGAAAAGAACCAGGTTAGGAGATACTCCGTCATGGTTAGGAATACTTGCCAAATGCCAGGGGGATTTGTGTAATCTCCTTCTAAATTCTATGTCCAACAACCACTGCTCCTCATGTATTCTTTTTTTTTAAAATTGCTAAGTGAAACTTAAAAAAGCATATATGATAGGTATGAATTTAATTAATTTGTATAATAAAATACACTGCAAATTTAAAAAACAAAAAAGGAAGCACAGCACACACCAAACAGACTAGACCCAAAAAAGAAAAACATCAAGACATATCAAATTTTCCAAATTAAAAGATAACAACAGAATTCTAAAAGCACAAGAGAAACAAAGAGTCGTCTACAAAGTGGAAACAATTAGATTAAGTTCTGATTTCTCAGCAGAAATTATGTCACCTAGACAATATAATGGCATATACACCAAGTTGAAAGAAAACAAATGCCAGCCACAGGTCCTTTACCCAGCAAAGCTCTCCATCAAATATGAAGGAGAAATTAGATCCTTTGCCAAAAAGAAGGAACTTAAGGAATTTGTGAAAACAAGACCAAAACTACAAGAAATTTTAAATGAAGTCCTTCACATGGAGGCACCAAAGCAGAATGGGTGGACCACAGTAGCCAGAAACAACAGAAAAAGAAACACAGCAAAATGGCAAAAGTAAAACCTGGCCTGACAACGATCACACTTAATCTGTATGGATTAAAAGTATCAATTAAGAGAGAGAGAGGAGCAAAATGGATAAAAAAACAAAACCTATCAATATATTGCATACAGGAGACACATAAAAAAAATGGAGATTCAAAATCAAAGGATAGGAAAAAATACACTAAGCAATGGCAACCACAAAAAAGCAGGAGTGGCAATACTAATCTCTGATAAAATAGACTTCAGAATGAAAACTACCATAAAAGATGGGGAAGTGCATTACATAGTGATTAAAGGTACAAAAGATCAAGAAAACATAACCTTGGTCAACATCTATATACCAAATGATATACCTGCAAAATAGATAAAACAAGGGTTAACAGAACTGACAAAATAAGCAGCACCACAATAGTGGTAGGAGATTTCAACACACTAGATGGTATACCAATTCACATATTTTAGCTACCAGATGCTGCCCTGGATGTTCTCACCAAGTTGTACCAAGAAATCTGGAGAACAACCACTCGGCCAACTGACTGGAAGAGATCTATATCTGTTCCCATTCCAAAGAAGGGTAACCCAACAGAGTGTGGAAACTATAGAACATTATCATGGGTTTCATAGGCAAGCAAGATTCTACTGAAGATTATCCAAAAATGACTGGAAGAGCCTATCAGCAGAGAACTGCCAGAAGTCCAGGCTGGGTTTAGAAGGGATCGTGATACTAGGGATATTGTAGCTAATGGTAGAGGGATCTTAGCTGAAAGCAGGGAGTACCAGAGGAATGCCTATCTGTGTTTCATTGACTATGCAAAGGCATTTGACTATAACAAACTATGGCTGACTCTGAGAAGAATGGGAATACCAGAACACTTGATCGTGCTAATGAGAAACCTATACTTGGACCAAGAGGCAGTCATCAGAACAGAGCAAGGAAACACTGCATGGTTCAAAACTGGGAAGGGCGTACGCCAGGGATGTGTCCTGTCTCCATACCTTTTCAACCTGTATGCAGAAAAGACTATCCGGGAGGCTCTATGAGGAAAAATGCGGCATCAGGATTGGTGAAAGATCTATCAACAATCTGGCAGCATCAGGATGGATGGTGAAGAGATTGAGACTGTTCACAGCTTTAGTCTGCTTGGCTCCACACTCAACACTCTTGGCACCAGCAGCCAGGAAATTAAAAGACATATTGCAATGAGAAAGTCTGCTGGTAGGGACCTCTCCAAAGTTCTGAAGAGCAATGGTGTCTCTCTGGAGACTAAGGTGTGTCTGATACAGGCCATGGTTTTTGCAATCATTTATGGTTATGCATCAGAGAGTTGGACAATGACTAAGGAGGATAGAAGGAGAACTGATGCCTTTGAGCTGTAGTGGTGCTGAGAGAAGGGTATTGATGGTACCATGGACTGC